CCGATCATGTTGGCATGAGTCCATGCGAACACGTTGATATTCTCCCTAAGGAAGCTGGTCAGGTCGTTGGCAAGCTGAGGGTTGATATTACTTCCAATTCTCAACACTCGGCTCGCTCTGATCGACTGACACTTCAGATAGGTCCTCAACCAGCCCACTGGAAGGGCATTCCTGGATACAAGGATCCATGTTATCCTCAATTGGACCAAGCTGTGGTTCGATCCGGCTGATCACCATTGCATGTTCAGGGATGCCAAGTGGACTGCCTTTTCTTTTGCACGCCATCTGCACTGCACTTACATAATAGTCACGAGATGCACGTTGAGATCCGCTTACTTCCCCTATCCCCATCAGGTGGGGAACTTCATCTTTAGATGGTAGATCGAGGTGACTACTTTGAAGTTTCTTAGTAGATGTCTTCCTAGGATGCCATTGAAAGTGGACGGACAGTCTATTATTAGGAACTCAGTAATTTCGGCCACCTCGTTGGTGTCACCCAATGTGACCGGGAGTGAGATCGTCCCCTTGGGGATCAGATGATCCCCGGTGAAACCATATAGAGGGATGAAGGCAGGCTTCAAATAGGCCTCATCCAGTTTAATCCTTTCGAAAGCTCACTGGAACAAGATGTTCGCGGCGTTTTCGTTGTCCACCAGCATTCGATGAACCTCGTACCGCCCTATTTCGAGCGTGATGACGAGAGCATCATCATGGGGATGATGCGATCGTACTGCGTCTTTCTTAGAAAATGTGATTTCCTCCTCTCTGCGAACCTATGCTGGTTGTGGCGTCGTGCTCATCACACTTATGGGGTCATGACCGGCTGCGCGAGCATACCTTTTATGGGCACCTTGCGAATTCCCCGCGAGATACGGTCCCCCAAAGATGATCCCTACACTATAGAGACCCTTACGACCACGACGTTTCTTGCCTGGTTCCTCTTGATTTTTCTCCCAAACGGGAGCAAAGTCATCGACGTGCTCTTTGAAGTGCCCCTGTTTAATGAGATCCTCAATTGCTTGCTTGAGGGCTCGACACTCATCGGTGTGGTTCCTATTATCCCGATGATAGCGACATATTTTTTTATTACTTCTGGCTAAAGAGGGATTTTTCATGGGCTTGGGCTCTCCGAGCATATTTGCCTCCTCTGATTTATCAAGGATAGCCGAGACTAAGGTATTCAAAGGGGTGTACTGAATTTTGTCGCGACAAGGAACTAGGGCGTATGATTTTTTGGGCTCATATCGCTGTTTCTTTCCTTTGCACTGATCGTCATTAGCCCATCTGCGATCGGCCCTCCTATTCTTCCCTCGGTTGAGAGCACTGCCTGAGGGACCGGGGTCGTGGCGGTTGAGCGCTGCCACGGAGTTTTCAATGCAGAGGTCCTTTTCTGTAAGGTTGTAGAAGCGAGTGAGGGAAACATCGTCCTCAGATTGCAACTCCTTCCACAAATTCGTCTGTGGGCGAACTCCCGCAATAATGAGAGTCCGAACAGACTCTTCGGGAGTGTGAGCTACTTTATGGAGCTCCCTGTGGAACTTGTCAATATAAGATTGGAGGGGCTCCTCCCTCTCTTGCCTTATGTTGCTCAGGTAGCTTAGGGGCATCGAAAACTTCCTGTTTGCTTGGAAGTGTCTTAGAATGTCGAGCTCATCTGGGACCACGAGCTAACTGATCCTGCTGGGAGTGACCTGAACCATCGCTTGGCATGAGAGGTAAGAGTTACTGCTAAGTAACGACATTTTGCCAAGTTAGAGACTTAGTGGAGTTCCATGAGGTCATTGAACTCGTACAAATGATCCTACGGATCAGAATTCCTATCAAATACTCGTATGTCAGGCATTCTGAATCTTGACAGGAGAGGAGCAACTAATATTGCTGGAGAAAAGGGAGACGCCTCTGCGACCTGCCCTTGTTCATTTCGTTGAGCCTTTAGCTGATTCAGAGCTCGCTGTAGCTCCTCAATCTGAGGTAGTGGAGCTACCTGGGGATCACTTTCTGCAACGTGGGTTCGACCCGCATGGTTACAGTTGAGGAAAGACCATAGGTCAGATTCCTTTTCGCCTCGGTCGACAGTTTCGGCAAATCTCGACACATGCTGGCTAGAGCTCTAGAGCTGTGTGATGGCGTTGAATGGTTCGAGAAACCTTCCCGACCTCCGCGGTGGTATGAACCGACCCACGGCTGGTGGGAATCTCCTGCATGATGACGATCAACGTCGTCATTTTGGCAATAATGGGAATCTCCTCGCCTTGCACTTTTGTGGGGGTGCTTGTGCGACGTGGCACGAGACAGCTCAGGCCGCGACATGTCACCAAGTCGTAATGCCACGGGTATTCTACCCGGGGCATGATCGGTGTTCGCTGGTCCCTCGGGGCCTTTGAGTCCACTATGCGCCACTTGCTTTCCCTTTCTTTGACACGCTGCAGTGCGCGTGGTATGGGGTTTTGCCATTTTTCGCACTTTCACGCGACCTACAGGCGTTTTTTGCGGTTGCACCGCTTCATTTGATATAGGTGACACGACCCGATCCAATCGGTCCAGCATTTGACTGGCCGTTTGGAGAGTATTGTTGAATCTCTTCAGGTAACTCATGGCTAGATCAAGTCGTGAGCTTGAAGGGATATCTCCTACGGTATTTTGCTGGGCTGAGGGCACCTCGGGAGAAGTGTCCTCTTGTACCTGGGGGATTTCTTCATTGCCATAGTTGGTTCGCTCAGATTCGAAACCGCGAGTCATTTGCTATAGTAGGATTGATTAGTCAGAGATTCTCCTAATGAAGAACAAGTACTAAATCAGGGGCCCTTCTTCTAGTGCCAAACTGTTGATGCTTGATTTTGACACCAATTATTCGCACGTGAGAAATGCTGAGTGAGCTCAGAAGTCACACGTGATTATGGAAGTATTAGGTTGATTTGGGGGGGGGGGGGTTGTGGGGATGAAGAGCAATGTTTAAAGTGGTTCGGATGCTCACAAGGCGAATCTTACGTCCACTGATATTGTATTAATGAGTGAAGTCAGATCGCGTTCAACGAGCTGGTTTACAGCTTAGAGAATACAAGAGAGAGGGAGAGAGTATGTTATTCCGGAGTGAAATTAACCAATCCCACAAATGGGAGATAAGTCCTCTATTTATAGTGGGATGAACCAAGGTAATCATTACTAAATCTACGAGTAGGGTAGATGCCGTGCAAATCCAGCTCTGCATCCCATTGCTCACCTGTCAGAGTGATTTTCTCGACTCGTGCAGGGATTGGACACGTAGATCATTTCCAACCATACGCCAACCTGACATACACCTACCACACTGGCAGGAGCATGCCACTCACGTCATCACGCGACGTGGCCACATCTGAGCGGTTGTAGAACCTTCTCAAGCTCTGACCATCCATGCTGACAAGGCTCTGCGTCAGCCCTACTTTTCCAGGCATAACATTGTGTTTATATAATTATTTTTTTATCCTTTAAAACTTGGACAGCTACGTTAAGACCTCTATATGTAATATTAGAACAAAACATGTGCTCATATCAGTATATATTATACAATCCAGTTGAATGTAATTGAGTATATTCAAATCTTAAGAAATTACTCTGAATAAATTAAATTGGTTTAATATGGCTATATAGCATTACAAATTGACTCTAAAATTCTAAATCATAGGGGTAGAGATGAGATCAACAATTCTATTTCATATTGCGATTTCTCACACCAATGAGAAGTAAGCGAGCCTTTGGGAAAGTTCGTGTAAGGGTCGGTTAGAGACCAAGAATATGATGATGAACCAATGAGAAAAATAATAACAATACAAACAAGTAAAAAGAAAATAAAAGCAATGTTTAAAATAGTTCGGATGTAAAGTGCAAATCTTACGTCTATTGCTATCTTATTATTTTTCTAGCGTGCTTTTGGTGTGTTTATAAAAGGCTATTTGCTCTCAAATGAAACAATTACTCTTAGCTATTCAGGAAAATGAAATTTTGGATCTCTTCTTTGGGGTGAGAGACCCTTATTTATACCATTGCATAAACGAACTTGCTTATGAAGTAATCCTCTCATCGCAGGACACATGGCCTGATAAACTGTCTTTGTTGGAGACTTACTAGTGAAACAACCTTCTTATGAGATAACACATGACCTGGACATCAACTTAGCCCCAAACCTTACTGTTGAAGCAGCTTGTAATAGTAACTTTACAAATGAAGTAATCACTTTATAGTGTGACACGTAACCTAGATAGATCTACAGTCACGAAACATGTGGCGTAAATTCATTCTGTGACTAGAGCTGATCCACCATCATGAATTTATAGCCTAACACTACATAAATTCAGAATACAGTGCATCGATTTTATAGTGCACATATTCATCCCAAATCATTCTCTTCCGATAACCCGTAGTCACAATATAATTTCCTCCTATATTTAAAATTAAATAAACATTTTAGGAACATAAAATATACCTTAAGATGGGAAGGAGACTTGTAATAATAATTGGAACCATGTTTTAAACTAAACCAATGTCTTTATGAAACAAGGTAAAAGACATTGGTTATTGTTATGCTGGAAATCCGGTGTGGGTAATTCCTTATTAGGAGTGAAGATATTTAAATTGACTCAATTTGGAAGAAAAATATTCAGATTGATATAGATTCTAATCCTACGTAGTTAGATCTTACCTCAATTCTATCACATAAATAGATATTATATAAATCCATCAAAACTTGTTTTCTGAGGGACTGGGCAATTATTTTAGGAAATGATTCATCATTTGTAATTCTCATTTAATAAAAGAAACAATAGACATAAGTTCAAGATTCAATTAAAGAAACAATAGACATAAGTTCAAGATTCAACCTTACTGAACCACTTAAAAAATTATCTTTATTGATTTCCATTCATAACATTGTTAGTTACCTATAATTATGCACACACCAGTTTTAATCTCGTCAAAGTCGATCAGATCGCTCTAATTGATATATTTTTCCATCAACAGTTACAAAATTAAAATTAAACAACATCATTTCATTTTTGAAACACAAAAAAGAATGACAAACATTCTTATGTATAATATATAATTCAATATCATAAATTATATTTTTCACTATTGGAACATTTGCACAATTATATAGCCACAGCATAATAAAAACAGCTATAGCATAGCAGAGGCCTCGACGCCAGATGTGACCTTTTACGTGTACATAATAAGATGAGCTATAACTAACTTGTTAATGCATAAGAACTACGGCTGCCTCCTGAACGAAAGGCTGGGTCACATGCACAAAATGCTCGGCTTCCCGTTCCACCTGTTCCCGGCACCTGTGAACATCCTTCCCTTCATTCATTTTCTTCACGAATCCCACAAACTGCCTCCAGTTATCGGGTTGGAACAAGTCAGGGTTCATCCTTAAGTATGTGAATGCACACATCTGTGCATCTGCTTCTGAGTTGCCATCAATATTCAAGGATGAAGCTCGCAAGATCTGTTCATGGGCATATTCATCGTATCGAGGCAATGCATTTTCCCCAGCAAGTGGAACGTGTGCTGCCTGAGTTGCTAAAGCCACTTGCCTGACAAGCTTCTCCGGTGCACAAAGGGCATCTTGTGGTTGTTCATGATCACGCATCTCAATGCAAGTGAAGTTAAATATGGCACCATGGCGTCCCAGCATATGGGCAATAGGAAGGTAACCATCACGGTATCGTGTGTTGTAATATCCAGCTGTGAGTTCAGGGGCATGGGACCTGGTTCCATAGTGCCAGTGGATTCCTGCAACCTTCACCGAAATCTTTACACCTGTCCTATCAAAGATTGACTTGGCAGATGAGAGAATTCTCTCACCATGTTCGATGAGCATCTGTGAATACCAGCCGAGGAAAAATTCACCATACTCACTATTCCAACCACCACCTTCTTTTCGGAAAAAAGGGGTATCTTCTGGCCAGTTGTTGTAGTGTCCAGCATCAGTAGGGCCTGTACTACCCCATTCTGGCTTACCCGCAGATTCAGCCGCTGCTTTTAAGCTACTGAGCATATACTGCATCAAGTAACCAACACTCATATGAGAACTGGAAAGCTTTAAGTATCTGAACAAATGCATAAAAGGAATTGTAAGTACCTTGTCATAACATTGGAAGGCTCCAATTCCAGGGAATTTCCATGTTCCATTCATCTCTGGATATGAAGGGTAACGAAGCTCACCTGCTGGACCCATTCCCACTTGGATTTCCTGTATAAAACGAATTCCTCCACAATTTAGCTAAATCTTTTACTTATATAGCATACATAATTGCACAAATGCAGAATTCCAGATCATTTAGCACCCAAAGACAATATATCAGAAAGCACTAGAAGAACGACTAATTACCACAATGGTGTCACCAAGATACTGATTGAAGTTGTCTCCGAAGGCACGCATGAAATCAGCATAACACTGGACAGGTGTTCGACCCTTAAGGGCTGGCACAGTATCACAGCCGAGTGAAACATATTCATAATTCCTTCTTCCCCACTGATCAGTGTATGCAAGGTCCTGATCTTTGTCCATTTCCTCCCTAACCCAGTTGGGTAATGGGATACTGCGAAATCGAAAACAAACTAATGAGAAAAGTGCCATAACTTCCCATAAAAAGAAACAAGAAAAGAATTTACACATAGTATTCTATTACTTCGACAATGTCGAGCATTTCAAAGCCACCAAAACATCAATCAAACTTACTATGCTGTCAAAAAACTTTTATCCCATAATTTTCCAAATATATGTAATAATCTCTTATATGAACTATTACTATTACCAAGACAGAATATCTCAAGAAACCTAGAAAGATTCCCACAATAGTAAACTCTCTCTGTTCAATGTAATAGTTAATATTGAACAGAGATACTAATACAGGTTTAATAGAGATAACAATAACGTAACCTCGCAACTGCAATATCTGACGCTATATTTCTACAAATTGGTTCCAACTTTCTCTATTCAATGTAATAGTTATCATGCACCCCACCAGTGCATGTGCCAATGAGTTGCACAATCCTCTATTCTTCTCAATCAATAGGATCCACGATGACTTAAATAAATAATTTTCTATATCATTTTCCCTATAGAATACTAATCCAATCCTTTAAACCCAATTCTTCAATATAGAACGAAATAACTTCGTATATCACTTTGCTTCTACGCAACTTTCCAAGTTTCAAGAGATCCATAAATTTCCAAAAACACCGAAAAGCTACCCTACTTTTCAAACAAATCATAACGCCACATGCGACTACCAAAAAACTAATAAGAAAACATGTGATACTCACGTAACAGAGTCACCGACGTTACCGCCACATTGATGAAACGACATCACAGCTTGAACCTTGAGTCCATGTCGTTTAGCCATTTCAATCAACTCGTTATATCCACCCCAATTGTAGTGCCCGGGCTGCTCCCTCTCCACCAGGCCCCACCACACGTCCATCATTATTCCCTCCACTCCCGCGCTCTTTAACGCCCTCAAACTAGCGTCCATCGCCTTCCGTCTGTTCACGCCGTTAGACATCGTCACGCTGTCCAACGGCATCATCACGAACACCGGTACTCCCTTCTCCTTTCCCTTCGCACCGCCTCCCTGTTTGTACAGCTCAGCGTAGTCCCTGTCCGTCTCCGACACCGGCGTCGCCGTCGACTCAGGCGCGTATGCGCGGCACGCCACAGAGAGATCTGCGCGCATGTTGCTCAGTACCGGTGACCGACAGGGACTGATGGGCGGTGATACCGAGTCCATCATATCTGGTTTTGAAATTTTACAAGATAAATTTGTTGGAACTGCTTTCCAAACCGCTGACGCATTCACCGCGTTGGTTGAATCGCCGGAGACGGGGCTTCCTTCCAACGAAATCGGAGTCCCTGCCAATGCTCCGATCTGGTGTGTCATGTTCAAAGCCATTTGTTCTTGCTGGATTTTCCCAAGAAAATAACTGAAAAAGTTACGTAGCTTTTGCTTGAATTTTGAATTTGAAAATGAATAAGAAAAAAATTTCTTCTCGTGTCAAAAGAGTTTGCGTTTTAGATTTTGCAAACGCATGGTGGGGCTGGCGAGTATATATAAGGTTGAGATTCGGATAAGATTAAAATAATCATTTGATTAACCGCTAATTTCGCGACGCGTGTAGTGGGTTGCAACGTGGCGGGTGGAGAGCTCGTGAGGAGGCGATGGCTACGATTGCTCGACTCATGTGACAAGGGACGGTGAGATGGATAAAACGCGTGAAGGTTCGAGCAAGCGAACGCGCTTTTGCGGTTTTTACTTGAAAGTAAACTGGGGGAACGGATGATGTGGTGACACGTTTGCTAAAGCGACGTCGTCACGTGTCGTGCTCTGTCGGCGTAAGACATGTTGCGGGTTTTGTCTTTTTATTTTCTAAGGCTGCTTTACGTCCACGGATCGGAAGGACCGATAACAAAACTAGTTTAAGGAAGACAGGGCGGACACGTGGCGGATAATGGCATGAGGTAGCACGATGAATAGTGCAATCGTCTGTCAGGAGTTGCCACGTTGAAGCATATTCGGATCTGGAGGATTCTATGATTTCTTTTTGGCGAATGATAATTGATAAGTGGCTTGATTGACAAACGGGGGCCACAACTGAATCATGATCGTCCAGTGGACAATCTTTTCGTGATATAAGCCATCTCCACATGTCTCGGGATCATTAGGGGTAACCTGTGTGTCCAAAAATTTTTGGTAATTGATTTATCAAATTTATAAACTTCTTATGCATAAATTTATTAAATTTGAGGAATGCAATAGTTAATCTAATAATAAGCGATGTTAGAGTAGCTCAATAAATAATCAATACTTTCTACCATTAATACTAACACCCGACATATATTTATATGATTTTGTCACTACAAAAATCCTTTTCTTTAGCCTTATTGATGAAAGTAGTTATTTATTTCATTTTAAAATCTTGAAAATATATAAATAATTTCCAATTTAATAAATTTTTTGACATTTGTATTTGTTTTTTAAGGAAATTTTGAAAAAAAATCTAATAGTATTTGAGATATGGAAATTTAATTTTAATTTGTTATGAGTTGTATAATTAATCTTATTATAGTCATTCGCAGTTGTTAACCAATGTTGAGACAATTCTATGTTTCTCCTCCATCAATAACTAATATTAAACACCATGACACTTCATAATTTGGATCCAATACTCAAAATAGACCTATTTATTTGGTGTTGCTTGTTTGTAAACTCTTGATATAAGAAGAAGTTGGTATAATTTCTATAATTATATGGTGAATGAGAACAATTAGATTATTTTTACACCTAGAAAAAGTTATTATTAACTACCTATTTCAAATAGATTATTTGATTTTATTTAACTATTATTGGGTGGTTCAATTATGGCTGTAAACACAAATTAAACAAAGTTTAGCACACCTAATTTTTATTAACTATAATAATATTTTGGTAACCAAGATAACTAAGTTAGTTTAAGTACACATCAACTAAACTCTAAAATAATTTGAATATCTTATAAAATCAAAAAATTAGGTAAAACATAATGTTATTATGGTTGAAATATCAAAATTTGAACTTAAAAACTCAAAAAATGAAATACACGTTATTAACCATCAAATCAACCATTTGGGATTAACTATAATAATCTTCTTTAAGAGTCAAGAACTAATTATATATTGTATATTCATATCATTGAAAAATATTGTTTATTTTATATTTAATTAGACCTTAATATTTTTCATATACTTATGGAGGAGAAGAGAAGTCGGGAAATTGATTGACGTTGAAGGCCACGTTTATTGACTAGCAGAAGAGATAAACCATGACTGTGTCACATGAAGTCATGAAGTGTAGTGGGTGTCTTTGTCTATCTCATGTCCATGTGCTCAATCACATGATTTTCAAACTACTTGCATAATTTCTAAATTGAAACACCACAATGAAGTTTCAATCAACTCTATAACAATCCTTTGATCTTAATAATCACAAAACCGGGGTGCTACAATCGCCAATCTTTCTCATGCAATGTTTTTTATATTTTATTTTTAATATTATATTTATTTTGAAGACGTGACACGATAAAAGTTAGCTATTGTTAACACTCTATCACAAAAATATATTTCTAGTGGACTTTGGATGAAAGCAAAACGTGAAAGGAACACTAACACATTCTTAACAAACAAACGTTCAACTTGCAATTAGAATTAACCACCATCGGGTGACCTGATAGTAAAAAAGCAAAAAGAGGTTTTATGAGCTTTTAAGTTTGAGTTTCTGTAGACACTAATATGGGTGATCATTGAGACTCTTACTCTACTGACAATTCTAAGATACTGAAATATTAGTTGACGTACGTACAAGTTGACTCGAATACTCCCAATGATAATTATTATTTTGCTGAAACCTAATCCTACTTTATAATTTTAATTGGAAGCCACAAACGTATACACCGAAACAAAGTTTAGCAAGAAAGTATGGATGAGTTTTGGAATTTAGTAAAGCTTCATACTTTATATAAAATTGTTGTCGGTCCACAAAAAGTCTAATATACATAATCACTAGTTTGATTGGGCAACTAGCTACTGTTTTGGTACTTGAGTATAAAACATTACAATTTGAAGGCCTGCAGGCACGAGGATCATATTTTAAAAAAAAAAAAAAAAAAAAAAATTAGAAATGTTGTTGTATTTCTTAATAAAGAAAATATAAATTAAAATAAAATTCCTGGTGCAACAATTTGGTCACATTTTTATCATTTTGAGAAATGAATGGAAATGCATATTCTTCTCTTTTTAGAGGACCATATTTTGATTAACTCACCACAAAAAAAATTAATTTAGTCCTTTTCAATAGCAGAATTATTCGCTTTGACGCCATATGTCTTCCTTCCTATATGCATTGCACTCTATATTATCCCCATTTTTACATTCAACAATTTAAAGAGGGAAAATCATTTCTCAAGTTTTATTTACAAGTTAAAAGATGTCTACCCTACAAGAATCATCTGATGCAGCCCAAACCCAGGGCCAATCTGATGCAGGCCTAACCCAGGGCCAAACTCAAGTAAACATAATATACGTTATTTTAACTTGTGTTTTACATAGGCATATTCTGATTATTTGATTATATCAATGTATTTTTATTTTTATGTGAATTCTAAACATATAATTTTTAGTTAATTATAAATGTGAACATTTTCCATATTTAGATTTGGAAGTTTTGTTTGAAATTGTGGTTTTTTGATGCAACACAATAGGATAGGTACTAAATAAGCTTTAGTGTAACCGTTCTAAGACACAAATATATTCGAAACTACGAATAATAACTTTTCAATCCAAGAGAAGGCATATTGAATCTCAGTGGCGGATCTCCCCTTTGGATTTTTTAATATTATACGTTAAGAAAACAGTAATTCTAAGGAGTTGATTTGACGATCAAGAAGGTTTAAACCTCAAGAGATTGGCCTGATGGTCAAGAATATTTGCTTTCTTTATTGACTTTCTGGGTTTGAATCACCTTAGGACTACCTGATACATTAATAGTTTATTTTGAAATATTAGACTTGTAGAATATTCAATGGACCCTGATGACTAACTAAGGTGCGCAACAAGCTTGCCCAAATATGACGTGTCATAAAAAAAAAAAAAAAAAAAAAATAGCAATTATGTCCTCGAAAAGTTACTACTTCTTTGGCCCCCTCATATTTTGTAAACATTACATTTTATTCCATTAAATGCAATTTCTTAAATTGATGTTTTCTTAACTTTGACATGCTCTTCATTTAAAATTACATTTTAGCCCCTAAACATAATTTCCCAGGTCTGCCACTATTGAATCTACAATAAAACAATAAGACAAGAAATCATAAAATAAGATAACTAAATTTAACTAAAATTAACCTTCTTGATTCAACTAAAAATCCAAAATCAATTAAATTCCAATATAAAATCGTAACTGAAATTAGAAAACCGATCCTGCGTCATTTTTGTTTTGTGTTTTGTGCAGGCTAAGACCGAAGAGATAGTAGAGTGTACTAAAGAGAGATCAAACGAAGCCAANCTGATTATTTGATTATATCAATGTATTTTTATTTTTATGTGAATTCTAAACATATATTTTTTAGTTAATTCTAAATGTGAACATTTTCCATATTTTGATTTGGAAGTTTTGTTTGAAATTGTGGTTTTTTGATGCAACATAATAGGATAGGTACTAAATACGCTTTAGTGTAACCGTAACTACGAATAATAATTTTTCAATCCAATAGAAGGCATATTGAATCTCAGTGGCGGATCTCCCCTTTGGATTTTTTAATATTATACGATAAGAAAATAGTAATTTTAAACCCTAAGGGATTGACCTAATGATTAAGAAGGTTTAAACCCCAAAAGATTAGTTTGACGATTAAGAATGTTTGCTTTCTTTATTGACTTTTTGAGTTTGAATCACCTTGAGATTACCTACCACATTAATAGTTTATTTTGAAATATTGAGCTTGTAGAGTGTTTAATGGACCTCGATAATTAATTGAGGTGTGTAACAAGCTTGCCTAAATACCTCGGTCATTAAAAAAAACAAAAAATAGTAATTATGTCCTCGAAAAGTTACTTCTTCTTTGGCCCCCTCATATTTTTTAAACTTTACATTTTATTCCATTAAATGCAATTTCTTAAATTGATGTTTTCTTAACTTTGACATGCTCTTCATTTAAAATTACATTTTAGCCCCTAAACTTAATTTCCTAGGTCTGCCACTATTGAATCTACCCAAAAAAATGTCGAATCTACAATAAAACAATAAGACAAGAAATCATAAAATAAGATAACAAAATTTAACTAAAATTAACCTTCTTGATTCAACTAAAAATCCTAAATCAATTAAATTCCAATATAAAATCGTAACTGAAATTAGAAAACCGATCCTGCGTCGTTTTTGTTTTGTGTTTTGTGCAGGCTAAGACCGAAGAGATAGTAGAGTGTACTAAAGAGAGATCAAACGAAGCTAAGACAAAAGAGATGGTAGAGTGTACCAAAGAGAGACCAAATAAAGCTAATACAGAAAAGATAGTAGAGTGTACTAAAGAGAGAGCAAATGAAGCAAAGGGGAAAGGAAAGGAGACAGCAAATGAAGCAAAAGAAGAAGCAAAGGGGAAAGGGAAGGAGACAGCAAATGAAGCAAAAGAGACAGCAAATGCAGTAAAGGAGAGGACACCTAAAATGTCTGAACCAACCAGGCTATCTGTGCAACAAGAATTGGAGCGAACTGATTTTCTTCAACAGGTCCTCCTCTCATTTTTTTATTTTATGATATTACAAACGAGAATTGAATTTGTAAAATGGGGTTGTTTTACAGACGGGAGAGAAAGTGGTGAACATAGCGCAGAGCGCTGTGGACAGCGTAAAGAGCAAACTCGGAATTGGTGGTGAAAGGAACAAGTGATTAATTAAAATCTTCTTCTGATTTGAACCTTCCTTAACTTTCAAAGATCTCATTCTCTTGCTTCTTTTACCTAATTATTATGGATAAATTACCAATGTCAAGCTCACTGCTTACCTAATATTTATTTTTAGACTAGAATATATAAACAAATATTATTATGTACTATAATTTGAGAGACTAATGATTCTCTACCTTCAAACTTGTTTACAGAGCTCATTCCGGATGTAATAAAGCTTTCTTCTTTTTTCTTATTTATTCTTAGTTAAAATTCTCAATCTTCCAGAGTATTTAATACCTATAAATAAAACCATAGGATGCATCTCGTTGGGGGTCATTTCATAATACTTCAATAATGTCATCTTATATTATTTACATTACTATGTTTGATTATCAAGTAATATAAGATTATAGTCAACCTCCAAAACTAATAGTAATCACTTTTGGTTATATAGGTGGTAAATACCACAATTTTTGTGGGTATTCTAAGATTATTTGGTAATCTTAATATTGTTACAATTTTACCCCTAACTATTAAATTTTTTAGACAATAATGCTCTTGCTTTGAAAACAATTTACAAGAATATTCGTGGATTATTTTATCCTTATACACAATATTTTTAGGACATTAGTACCCTTACACTTCCACCGAATTACCCAAGACAGATGGCCAGATCTAACCACCACTGGCGGCGGTTGTGGCCAAAATGGCGCACGACTGGCCAGATCTGGCTGGTTGGCCGTGCGTCGATCTAGCCGTTAATGACCACATTTGTAAAGGTTTAGGCTATGGATCTGGCCGGAAACGGCCAGATCGACGCACGACATGTCATATCCGGCCAGTTGTGTGTTGTTCAGGCCACTGCCGAGCATGACAGACAGTGGTGTCCATCGGCTGATAGTGGCTTGGGTGGGTGGGGGTGATTTTGTCAAAAATTATATTTTTATTGTGGCTGGGGTGTTTTGGCAAAATCTCAAATGTAGGGGGTTAAAAGAATAATTCAAATAATAGTAATATTATTATTATTAAAAAAGAAAGGCAATTCAGTAATCTATATAATATACCCACCAATATATTCTTTCCAACCAAACATATCAATATAACATACCCACCAATTTATTTCAATCTAACCACACACATTTAACATAACATTCTGGGTGCGTTTGGTTCGGGGTGAAATAAGATAAATTCTGTAATCTTTGTTTAATTTTCAAGATTCCCTCGTTTGGTTGTAAAGTAATATAATATTACAGTAATATTTTATTGCAAATAGTAGTTACTATTGGTAATATTGGGGGTAATCAGATTACCTTCCCAGGGGGTGTTAATGTTAGATTATCGGGGTAATCATAATTTTTACCCTATTTTGCCGTTAATATTTTATCATTCTGGACACATTTGCCCTCACATGTCTACTAAATAACAATTACCCAGACCCCTTACATTTGAGAACTTAGCTAAAACACCCCCGCCACAAAAAAAGTTTAAAAGTTAACAAAATACCCCCAATCATCCAAGACCACCGCCGGCCGCTAGCCACCACCGCTGGCCACCGATGAAAGTCATCATATCGGCAGAAGATCGGTAGGATCTTGCCGATCGTGTGCCGATAAGGACATTTCCGACCATGGATTTTTGATCCATGGCCGGAAACGACCAGATATGGCCGTTTCACGGCCAAAGATGTGGCCGTGAAACGTCATAGATCTGGCCGTGAAACGGCGACTGTTTCATGGCCAAAGATCTAGCCTTTTCACAGCCAGATCTATGGCCGTTTCACAGCCACATCTTTGGCCATGAAATGACCATATTAACGGCCAGATCTAGCTGTGAAACGACCATATTCATGGCCAAATCTAGTTGGATTAGGCCTGATCGGTGTACGACCAGCCAGATCCGGCTGGTCGTGCGCCATTACAGCGGCTTCCGGTGGTGGTGGTGGCTGCCGGCGGTGGTTTGGGGTGAGTGGGGGTGACTTTGCTATAAATTAAAGTTGTATATGGTTGGGGTGTTTTGGTAAAATTTCAAATATAGGGGGGTTAAAAGAAATAATTTAAAAAATAATAGAATAAAATAATAATAAAAAAATATTATATTATTATTTTAAAATGAGGGCAATTTAGTAATCTACATAACATACCCACTCATTTATCCTCCCAACCAAACATATTGTTATAACATACCTATCAATTTATTCCAACCGACCAAACACATTTCTTTAAAGATTCCCTAGTAATCTATCTTTCCAGTAATACAACATTCCTCAATAATATAACATTTCCTGAACCAAACGCTACCTCTAAGTAATTTTTAAGGTAATCTATATTCCCATTAATATAACATTCTTAACAATACAACTTTCTCTTAACCAAATGCACCCATAAAGTTAAATGAATACCCTCGAAATGAAATCCATGAGCTTTCACCATCAAGGTATGGTCTATGCATGTGGAAGAATGTAATAAATGGTTAAACACTATATGACTTCGGAACACTAGGCTTGGTCAAAAATGGCAAAGACTCATAACCACTTCATCCAAAGAATCACTTGATGCTTTGTTGTGACAATAATTCTACTCAAAATTCAAAAGGCCTTTTGATTTATGCCATTGGAATGTAGTCCGCTCAGCAAATCATGTAATATTATTACTCGATTAATTGACATATGTGATAATATCATATTATCACTTGATACGTGATAACTATTTTCATCCTTTCTTATCTTTATTATATAGAAAAGAAAAAAATTATATCCATTAAGTAAATAGTAAAAAAATTCATTATATAGAGTAATTATGTACTACACAAAATAAAGTACTATTTAAGAGAAGATCATATATGATTGTTGTGTGTGATTTCTCCATCAAGCTCGGAGCATTGCGAGGTTATAGTTTGATCCAGAATCAGTTTGACTTAGCCGATTGTTTGACCCAGCATAAGCTCGTCGAGTTGTAGCTCAACCTAGCGCACGCTAGTTGCAACCAATCCTTACAGTTGTTCAACCAACTCATAGATAACTTCAGATCCCAGATATCTCGGAAGGGATTGGATCGACAACAATCTTGGTGCAATCTCAGTGCCCAATCACGAGAATATTGGAGTTGCATTTCAATCTTAATTATAATCCCTTTATTTTTGCTTTTTCCTTTGTACAACATTTGTATATAAACCCCCTCCAATGATGAGAAAAGGGGTTAGCAAATTATTCTAGGACCATTATTGTAAGCTCTCATAGCAAATACAAAAATAGTGGACGTAAGCTCAAGAAGTTAACTCGCCGAACCAATTTAAAAACTCATTGTGCCATTTACTTTATTGCATTTTCTGTCTATACATTGTTGGTTACCTATAATCATGCACACATCAGTTCCGTTTCCATCAAGATCAATCGGATCGCTCTAGTTGGTGTATTTTTGCATCAACATTTTGGCGCTAGAAGTAAGGCTTCCGCCAAATTTCAGAATTTCCAGCAAACAAACCCCAGTGCTTGATCACTCAAGGCCCACGATGGTTTGAACCAGATCAAAGACCACTACCAAAAAGCACGACAACGTGGAGACTACCTACTAGGAGGTGCACCAAGATGTCGCCAGACGTCGACCATTAGGGCCATCGGTGCAGTAAGCCGTGAATCAGCTGGGGGTAGGGATGTCGAATCCTGAGAATGGCCAATTGGTAGAGATGATCAAAACGATGGTCGCATAGTTTGTGCAACAAAATGTGGCTAAGCTGAGAAATTAGCAACCGCCCCTCCAAGACCTTGACCGACTGCATTTCACCGACGTCACTCCAATAGGTCAGAACTCAGTTGGTGACCAATCTGGTTCGTCGGCATTGAGGCACGATTGACAATCCCGACATTGTCGAGAACATTTAGTGTAAGAACGAGAGTCCTGCAGGCAAACTAACCCTGGGAGGTGACTGGACAAACAACCCATAGGAAAAGACGAAGATAATGGTCTCCAAAGGGATACTGACGCTATCCCCAGTGTCAGCGTGCCGGTTTTAACCTACGCCCAAGATTGGCTTAAACCTCGCAAGCTCGCGAGATGAGTCATGTGCACCAATCTGGCAATAACTGATGTTCCAGTTATAACTAACATCGCGAGCAACGTACTAATGAGCATGATAACACCTACTAACCCAGCCATCATGACTCAACCTTACACATCAATGCGCATAATGGAGGGGGCTCACAAGTTTGCGAACTCACCTGCTCAAGGTAAGGCTGAACAAAGCCAGTCAGGGCAATCCTCATAATGAAGACTTAGATCGGGTGCAGAAAAGGCTCGACGATCTAAGAGCCTGCTAGAACGATACGACGAAAGAGATAGTGAGCTCTCCCTTTATAGAGGAAGTTCGCCAGATCCTGCTTCCCTAGGGATTCAGGGCGTTAGAAAGTAAGTTCGATGGGAAAGGAGATCCTAGAGACCACTTTAACACTTTCAACTACCTGATGGAGCCGTACCAGATCTGTGACTAGGCAAAGTGCCGTTGCTTTGTGATCACATTGGTAGGGGATGCCAAGAGTTGGTACAAAAGGCTCAAGGCAAACTCAATTAGCTCTTGGCAATAGTTCTCCTCGCTGTACCTACAACAATTCCAAGCGAGGAGATAGTATGCAATGCCACTCAGCTACTTAAGCAATATTTGTCAGGAGAGAGATGAAACACTAACCTCATATCTAACGAGGTTCCAGAATGAGCCAGCGAAGGTCATGGATGCACCCGAAGAATCAATCTGAACTTTACTAATTGTGGGCATCAGACCACAAACAGAGCTGTGGAAAGAGCTCTAAAGTGAAGACCATGTGAGCTTGACAAAGTTTTATCAGATGGTTGCTAAGCATCAGTGAGTGGAAAGCTCGCTAGCTGCCCTAGCTAGAAGCTCGCTGCAAAGAGTCTCGGATAGGTGACAAGTCACCCAACAGATAAATGAAGGGGCCAAGACCGCAATGACAAGGATTAGAATAGGTTCCAAAAAGGCAAAAAAACAACAAATC